ACAGATGTGGTGTTCATGCTGGACTCCTCGGTTGATAACCGTGTCTTTGGCTGGATGAAGAAGTTCGTCAAGGACTTTACTGACCAGGTTGATGTAGATTCTGGAGAATGGAGAGTTGGTGGCTTGACCTTTGACGTTAGACCTAGAGCAGACTTCCATCTAAATAGGTAATTTTGTGACCTGTGAATCTTGTTCATGTCTGTCAGTATCACTATCACGTAACAGGTCTTGTTGCAAAATGATGCTGCCACTATCGTCTGCCTAAAAGAAACTTGTTCTTTCTCTCTCTCCTTCTCTCTTGCTCACTCTCTCTTTCTCTCTTGCTCTCTCTCTCTCTCTTTCTCTCTTGCTCTCTCATTCTTTCTCTCTGTCAATATCACCATCATGTAGCAGGTCTTGTTGCAAAATGTTGCTGCCAATATGGTCTGCCTAAAAGAAACTTGTTCTTTCTCTCTCTCTTTCTCTCTTGCTCTTTCTCTCTTTCTCTCTTGCTCTCTCTCTCTCTCCTGCCTTGTGCACTTTTCTTCATAAAGTAGGTGTCACTTATATCCTGTGCCGATCTTCAGACTGATCGACCCTTGCACCTCTTTCCTGGTAACATAATTTATTTTTTTTCAAATCTGCGATGGTGCTTTATGTCTGTCGATATCACCATCATGTAGCAGGTCTTTTGCAAAATGTTGCTGTCACTATGGTGCCTAAAAGAAACTTGTTCTCTTTCTCTCTCTCTTTCTATCTTGCTCTCTTTCTCTTTCTCTTTTGCTCTCTCTCTTTCTCTCTCTCTCTCTCTCTCTCTCTCTCTCTCTCTCTCTCTCTCTCTCTCTCTCTCTCTCTCTTTCTCTCTCTCTCCCCTGCCTTATGCACTTTCCTACATAAGGTAGGTGTCACTTATATCATGTGCCGGTCTTCAGACTGATCGACCCCTGCCCCTCTTTCCTGGTACCATGAAATTATTTTTTCTAATCTGCCATGGCACTTAAAATTGCCAAAACATTTCAGTTTCTGATGCAAGAGGCTGTTTACTAGCAAATCTTCCTTTATGTTCAGATATATTAAGATATCAGTATTTCATTTCTTCTTTGTCCATTTTATTATGAGAATCTTTCTATAGCATTTCAGCTCAAAAGCTCCTAATTCCTTCCTTAAGGACTGCAAGATAGTCTGTGACTTACATCCCCTCATGGCTACAGGGAAGATGCATGCTCTCAAAATGTTGACTTTGATTTTCTCGCTGGTGCTAAACTTGAGACTTTTAATGTTGTTTAACTCTTTGAGTCCTGAAGAACGCATGATTTGGTTACTACTACCCAGTGATCCAATTAGCGTGTGACGCATTACTGGTTTATAATTTACCCCTGGCCAAGATAACAACATAAACTGGCAGTTTCAAATGGTATTTTCTGTTTTTGTTATTTGGGTTCGATGTCACACATGTTGATCATTAGGCTTATTTGGAAAGTAGTTAAGAGAATAAAATATAGCATATTTGTGAGCTGTGGCCTCTAAACAGACTTCTTCATATATATCAACAAGATTTATGACTTTAGAAGCCTTTATTAGATTTATCTGAAGCTAGACAAAGAAAGAAGCAAAGTATACTTGTTCCAGTCACTGACAGCATCGGACTTTGATGAGAAATGGCTCTGATATATACCTCATGCAAAGTGTGTGACATTTTCTTTTCTCATTATTTACTATTATTTTAATCACATCTAGTTATCATTTACTGTTATTTTAATCACATCTAGTTGTACACAACATGTGTGACTTCATTGCTTGAACATATTCTCATTAATTTAATGTGATGGTATCAATGTCCTTGCCTTTAGGACATATTACTAACCTCACTTTCTCTAGTAAAAAGGTCTGGATACAATTAATTAATAACTTTTCTTACTTAAAAAAGCAATCACATAACAGTGGTGGGAGGAATTAGGTCTTCACGATATGACGATATGACCATATGACTTTATATATGAGGTGGAGTGGCCAGATAATCCATTATTACTTTTCTTTCACTGAAAATTAAGGGATAATTCTGAAAATATCCAGAATTAAACATTTAATAACAGATGTTGACAGACATGATGCAGATAGAGGAAAGGGGTAATGGGTGTGAGCCTAGCTGCAGGTGATTTAGCAGCAGAGCACCTTGCATTGGTTTCAACAGTGATATTGAGAGCCAACCATTCAGAAGTGATGGCAAACTACTGAATGTAAATTTGCTTAGAAAAATCTTAACAGCCAAGAAATACTGGGGTTGGTTCTGCAAAATCTTGTAAAGAACACGCAACTAACTTAATACTTTAAGATCATTTAATGTTGTATAGATATTAGCTAATTATAGCAGATTATAAGATCATATATTAAAGTGGTAAAATAAAATATAAGTGTACGTAACAAAAAATTATGATTTTTGCAAATAAATGTGACAATCAGTTTATGTTATCTTCTTCTTCTTTTCTCTACTCCTGGAATGCCTCGCAACATCAGGGTAGGAAAAAAATCTTCGTTCACTTCGTATAAAGTACTTTATAGTGTCTTTGATATTTCTGCAGTCCATCTTCTGCATGGTCAACCTCTGGCTATGTTACCATTGTATCTTTATAACACTGCTCTCTGTGGTGCCCTGTCTGATGCAATCTTGTTACATGGCCAAACCATTTGATTTGTTGTCTGCCTATAAAGTTCATTATTGGTTCTGTGCAGATTCTCCTCCTGATATCATCGTTCCTAAGTGAATCTTTTCTCGTTATACCTAGCATAGTACATAAACATTCTTTCTATCTATGGATATATCTATAGTAATTTGAATGATTAAACAAAAAAATGTTTCTCTTCCTAGATACAACTTCAAAGATGAGATTATAAGCGGTGTTGACAGACTACAGGCAAACCGCATCAGTGGACGCCCAAACTTTGGCGATGCCTTTAAATATGTTCGTAACTACATGTTCGTATCTCGAAGTGGAGACAGAGCAAAAGCCAGAAATATTGTCATTTTGCTGACAGGTATTTTCCCTAAATTTCTTTGTTTTAACATGTACAATTTTAAATTTATTAACTATTTTTCTGCCTGGCATTTTTTAACTGTAATTCTTTTGAAAGCAGTCATTAATTACCTAAAAGTAATAAATTTAGTGTATAAATGAGTTTGACAAGCTATTGTACAGCACCTGCAAGTTAGAGTTTTGAGATCATGCCTCTTTTCCATGGCAAATTACTGATGTGAATCAAGGACTCTTACTCAGTTACTGAAAAAATCAGAGATAACTGAAATTCTGCTGAAACAAATCTCAGAATACCATGAATAAATTTTTTTTGGTTAAAAAAAAAAAAACACACACACACACACGCACGCATGCACGCACACACACACACACACACACACACCATCTTGTCCTAGCTCATAAACACCATCTTGTCCCAGCTCATAAACACCATCTTGTCCCAGCTCATAAACACCGTCTTGTCCCAGCTCATAAACACCATCTTGCCCCAGCTCATAAACACTGTCTTGTCTCAGCTCATTAACTCCATCTTGTCCCAGCTCATAAACACCATCTTGTCCCAGCTCATAAACACTGTCTTGTCCCAGCTCATAAACACCGTCTTGTCCCAGCTCATAAACACCGTCTTGTCCCAGCTCATAAACACCATCTTGTCCTGAAAGTTGAGATATTTTGGCCATGTTAATTATCATGGTGGCCTGGAGAGAACGGTGATGGAGGTTGCAGTTTCAAGAAAATGAGGCAGAGGCGGACCTCTGTGAATGTGTATACAAGTCATTGAAGATTCATTGGCCATTAAAGCACATAGGGCTGGAGTATCAGAGGAAGAGATACTTTCAGGTGTGCCGTGACAAGAGCAGTAGTCTCCAGACCTGTTGATTAACAATGATAAGTGAGTTCAAATATAATTTATTGGCTCTTTATTTATGGAACCTCCTTGGATAGCCTTACCATCAAGGCTGACCATTCTGCACACAACTGCCCTGGATGGATCCCGTAGGTGAAACACCTATTGACCAAGGATGAAGAAGTAATCCCATGAATATGGCTTTGAAGTGTTTCTACTTTCTCTTTTTTCATTTACCTGGAGTAAGCTGTTTATATCTACATCACTTCTTTCATGTAAATTCCACTGCTTTAAAAAAAAAAAAAAAATTAATTAAGTGGTCCATAACTTGCCCCTATTATTGTTGTTCTTGAAAATGAACACCCCTGACAAAAGATGACTACTTTGTCATGGACAGATCAGTCATTTTGTTGTGTCTCAGAACAGGGCACAACAGCTTATGCAGCTAAATGTATACAAATTAAAACTGGTATATCAACCATGTCTACATGTGGAGTGTCACCCCAGACACCCCAAACATATACTTCAAGACTGCCCAAATATAACACATTGAGGCAAAAAAGTTTTTTTATCAAAAAAATAAAAATAAAAATAAACTGCGCCAGAAAGAGAGTGACTTCCCTTCACATTCATGCCTCATCGTGTCGCAGGATTTGTACTATGTTGCAAAGGGGTCACGCTTAGTGACCGGTCAGGAAAATCATTGTTGTCACTGGCCTGCAATATCGCATGTTCTGTATTCCACGATGTGAGCACTCTTAATGATTCCAAAACATGTAAAACTGGCCCCAACCCCAACCCCCCTACCATACAGCCTCAGCCTACATCCCACAACTGCAAACAGCTTAGGTGGGATAAAGGCGGCACTCTCTGTGTAGCCGTAGAGCCTCAGGCTCAAAAAACCCTTTGCCTACATTGCAAAAGTGTTTAATAAAGTAATTGGCAGTTTTTAGCAGTTACTGGGTAAAAAAGTTGTATTTCTTATCTTTAAATTAGTACTTGATTTGATTTAGTACAATTATTTATGATAAGAATGTTCAGATGTAGCAATGAAATTTTTTAAAATCTTCTAGGCAATGAGAGAAGTGCAAACAGTGTAGAAACCTTTGAGGAAGCAAATCGACTAAAAGATCTTGGTACAGGCATCTACACAGTTGGCCTCAATATTGGAGATGCCACCGAACTTGATGAAATTAGCTCCAAGCCTCTGGATGAATACAAGACCGTAGCCAGAAGTGAAGAAGAGCTAGATGAATTACCTGGCATTTACAAGTACAGAATTGAAAGAGGTTTGTTTGAAAATACACAATAGTTCTATGATTAGAATTAGAAATGCAGTGTCTGTCTCTAATCCTATACTAATTAGGCATAAATCAGAGTCAGAGATATTTTTAAAACTATTGACAAAATCCTAATCTGATCACTGTGAGCAGTCACTCGTACTGGAGGCTGACTCTTCTTAGGTACGTAAACAGAACTTAGCCCTTCCAGCATAATAGCATTTTTTGTTGTTCCCCTCTTATGTGTTCTGCAAATGTAGCATATAGGTTCAGCAATCTTGTCTTGTCTTGTCTTGTCTTGTCCACAATTGCCTCACAGCGTAGAGGGGAGTCGCAGTTTTCTATCCTGGGCCAGGTGTGTTGCATGTGTTGTTGTTAGTCCGTGTTGCCTCAGGATCTCTGATATATTGTCTATCCATCGTACTCTCGGTCTGCCTCTTGCTCTAGGGCAGTAGTGTTGTTCGTTGTATGCTCGTAGAGGCAGTTGGTCGGTTTGCATTCGCATCAAGTGGCCAAACCACTCTATTTGTTGCTTCTTTATGTATTGCAGGCATGGTGTGGTTCCTACAATTGATCTAATGTTCTTGTTTTATTTTATTACAACAAAACAGATGTAACAGTTTGGAAATTTAACATGCTGCCAGAAAAATATATATCTCAACAAGCAATAATGTGTTTAAACTAGCTAATCACATCGGGTGCTCTGAGTTCACAGAAATTGTAAATTATCAGCATCAAAATTCCTCTCCAAAGTCACTAATAAAGTTTGGATCAAATACACAAATAAAAAAACTTTATTCAGTCTTTTTTTTTTCCCATAGTTTAAAATTTTTCTACAAAAAATAATATCTGATTTTGCTTTCTGTGTCTAGCTCCAGTATTGACACCAAGGCCACCAGTAATAGTGACTCCTCGCCCGACAGTTCCTCGGCCAACAAGAGTTATCCCAGAAATAACAGGTCTGTATGATTGTCCTGTACATAGGTATGTATGATTGTCCTGTACATAGGTATGTATGATTGTCCTGTACATAGGTATGTACAATTGTCCTGTATATAGGTCTGTATGATTGTCCTGTACATAGGTCTGTATGATTGTCCTGTACATAGGTATGTATGATTGTCCTGTACATAGGTATGTATGATTGTCCTGTACATAGGTCTGTATGATTGTCCTGTACATAGGTATGTATGATTGTCCTGTACATAGGTATGTATGATTATTGTCATAGAACTGCCTGATGCACCAACAAATTCTCTTGTACCTCCAAACAAGGGACAGATGATTACAGGGTCTGAGCAAAACTTCCATGACAGGATGTTGATTAATACACATCTACCAGAACCCTGTCAGAAAAAACACATTGGCCACAGGCCTTGATTAGTTTGTGAGATACAGTAGTCAATCTGAAACGTAGCTCTTATTATAACTACCCCGCCACAGTCTGCCCAAGATGCTTTAAAATCACCACCCACAGGTAGGACGTCTGGTTGCTTCCAGCATTAGATCAAGCCTTAGACCAAACCTCTCAAACAAACCCCCTTCTGGGGCCTCAGCCCTGTAGGCCCCAGCCAGTGGACCCCTGCATGGCAGTATGTTTGTGCTCAGATAGACCAGGTCAAAGAGATAACTGTAGTAGTACTGGATAATAACAGCACTTGCCCTCTTTCTGTATACCCCATGGCATAACTTGATGATCATGAAACCATCATCTATGTATGTTTATACCATAAAAAGCTAACAACACTACTACGCTAGATATATATTTAATCTGCCCCTAGGTCAGTCGTGATCACACAATAAAGAAGTCATTATAATAACGCTACCACCCAGTTGCTAGCCAGGTTAACCAACACATTCTAAGAATTTACTGTCGATACTTTTACACCCGACTGTCATTAGGCCATCGCAAATTAATCCTATCAAACAAATCTATTTGTCATAAGTAAAATGTTATATCTGTCTCAGTCCTAGTTCTCCAGTCAATTGTCCTTGTTCCATTCACTTTGGTTCTTTTTCCACCTCAGCAGTCATCTACTCAGACAGTGAGTCTCCTGTGTAATTGACTACGTAAGTCATCTTGCTTTCCAATGACCAGCGTCAGACTTGTGAATCTTTGGTTGTACTTGTCCACCTGTCACTATCATCACACACACACACTTTCTTTTATACTTTCTAATCCACTATGTTACTTGATATATTCAGACTGAATAATTTTCCAAGACCATATGCTGTTTACTAGCCAATTTCCCTTGATTTTCAAATCTATTAGGACGTCAGTATTTCTTTGCTTCTCATTTTTAGCTAATTGTCTGCTCTATACTTGTATTTGCATGTGAATATTTGATAATCTGGTTATAACCTTTTTCTCTACTCTGGCAGGAGACTGTAGAACCAAAGGTGATGTGGTCTTTGTGCTGGACTCATCTGGCAGTGTTGGAGAGTACAACTTTGGACTGGTCAAAAATTTCACTCAAGAAACTATCAAGGATTTGAGTGTTGACAGTGGCTTGTACAGAATTGGTGTCATTACTTTCAGGTAATTGTTCATTGAACTATAGCTGAAATAATTTATTCATTGAAGTATAGCTGAAGTAACTGTTCATTGAAGTATAGCTGAAGTAACTGTTCATTGAAGTATAGCTGAAGTAACTGTTCATTGAAGTATAGCTGAAGTAACTGTTCATTGAAGTATAGCTGAAGTAACTGTTCATTGAAGTATAGCTGAAGTAATTGTTCATTGAAGTATAGCTGAAGTAACTGTTCATTTAAGTATAGCTGAAGTAACTGTTCATTGAAGTATAGCTGAAGTAACTGTTCATTGAAGTATAGCTGAAGTAACTATTCATTGAAGTATAGCTGAAGTAATTGTTCATTGAAGTATAGCTGAAGTAACTGTTCATTGAAGTATAGCTGAAGTAACTGTTTATTGAAGTATAGCTGAAGTAACTGTTCATTGAAGTATAACTGAAGTAACTGTTCATTGAAGTATAGCTGAAGTAACTGTTCATTGAAGTATAGCTGAAGCAACTGTTCATTGAAGTATAGCTGAAGTAACTGTTCATTGAAGTATAACTGAAGTAACTGTTCATTGAAGTATAGCTGAAGTAACTGTTCATTGAAGTATAGCTGAAGTAACTGTTCATTGAAGTATAGCTGAAGTAACTGTTCATTGAAGTATAACTGAAGTAACTGTTCATTGAAGTATAGCTGAAGTAACTGTTCATTGAAGTATAGCTGAAGAAACTGTTCATTTAAGTATAGCTGAAGTAACTGTTCATTGAAGTATAGCTGAAGCTGATGTAGCGTTTGCCATGATGAAGAATATTCAATGCAATATATTTGTTTTGTCAACCTAGGTGTGAGAGAGAGACAGAGAGAGAGAGAGACAGAGAGAGAGAGACAGAGAGAGAGAGAGAGAGAGAGAGAGAGAGAGAGAGAGAGAGAGAGAGTGAGAGAAAGGTATTGGTATGTGTGTCGGAGTGTGTACACATTCACACAAACACACACTGAAAACACATAAATACTGTTCACACACATAATTGTGTGTGTGTGTGTAAAGTATTTATGTGTGTGGGTGTGTGTATATCTATATATCTATAGATATATAAATATATTTACGTGCACACACACACACACACATATATAAAATAAAAAACTATGGAGTACTCTCCCTGTAACTATGGAAACAATGAATAGAGGTACCTTGGAGTGGCTGCTGCATTGGAGGAGTGAGCATGCATGGGAATGCCCAAGGTGCAGTGATGTCGATTTTGAAAACATTACATGATTAAATTCACAGTGACTCATCAAGAGTACAGTTCCAGCTCAACACGTACACCACAAGGCAAGAAATCTTTGATGCCATCCAAAAGATACCATATGTTTATGGACGTACACACACAGCTGAGGCTCTCAGGAGAGTTCGTACAGAAATGTTCACAGTCAGAAATGGAGACAGACCTGGTAAGACTAATAATATATGTATAAAATATATCATCATCATCATCATCATGTAGCAGGTCCTTTGCAGAATGTCGCTCTCATCACGGTCTGCCAGAAAGAATCTCTGTCTCTCGCCAGCTCTCCTGTCTCATGTACTTTCATACTCAAGGAGTCACTTATATCCTGTGCCCTTCTTCAAGTTGGTCGGCCCCTGACCCTCTTTCCTGGTACCATGCCATCTGCTATTATTTTTTCCAGTCTGTCGTGGCGCTTTATATGACCAAAATATTTCAGCTTCTGGATGCTGTTTATTAGCCAATCTTCCTCGATGTTCATATAATTCAAGATGTCAGTATTTCTCATTTTTTTTGTCCAAGATATTCTGAGAATCTTTCTATAGCACTTCAGCTCAGTTTCATTTGCAGTACACCTCTTGTCGTGCTTATCTGGCCAGCCTGTCTGCCTGCATATTCCCAAACACGTCTGAATAGTCCTGGCAAAATATCCATGTTACTGTGAAAAGGGCACTGTTGAAATAAATTATTACATTTTCCTTAATTTAAATCTCATTAACTAGTCTTTTATACTGGCCAGTGGTAAATTAAAAACCAGTATGTGTCAGTTGCTGATTGGGCGGCTGAGTAGGAACTGATTAGCACATGATGCGTTCCTTGGGACTTCCTCTCCCCCTTCCCTGCTGAACTGGGCCACATAACCATTATAAATAGTTATTGTTATGTAAATCTGTTCTTGTTTTCTGGACAGTTAATGTTTAGGACACTTCTTTCATGTTTTCCTCAATTTTCCTATATCTTCTTTACAGCTGCGGCGTTCGTGGCTTAGGCGTTGCGAGTCCGACTCGTAATCCAGCGTACCGCGATCGAAACCCACTGCTGGCTGCATGGATTTTTATCATGGTATGGTGTGTCGCAGGTCGACCCAGCCTAAAATGGGTACCAGGATGGGCTGTTCTTGGAAAGTAAAAACAGCCGGCGTAATGCTGATCAAGTTACCCACCGAGTGCTGATGGTCTGTAAAAATATGGGCGCTCTTCCTATATGCCCAATACGCCTAAAGGCGTGAAAAGGGATCTTTACTTTACTTTACTTTCTTTACAGCTCCATTGTTAAATGCCCTGTGTTTCATACCAGTACACCACTGCAGAAAGAGTGCATTTTCTGAGTACTCAGACTTGTGTTACTCTATATATTCCACTTCAAAAAATGTTTAATTGCTTTTTTGTGTTTGTGAAACAATTTTTTTTTTTTTTTTTTAATTTGTCTGCACATTTCCAACTCTTGTTAGCAGTGAACCGAGATATTCAAAATGGCTCACTTTCTTTTATTTCCCTGCCCTTCTTCTTCTTCTTTCGTTCGCCTGAAATAAGTTATCTATATCAGCAGTTTTGTCTCTTGTATAAATTTCACTGTCGTTGTTAGTTCATTCAGTGGTCCATAGAGTTTACGTTCCACTGTTGTTCTTTCTGGCCAAAAGGTTTGCCTTAATGTGTCAAATTCGGTGCAGTCCTGGAGTACATGCTCTGCGGTCTGGGGCACATTTCCACAGGTGCACATGGCTGATACACCTATCTTGAATTTTGTGAACATGTGGTTACGTAATCGGTTTGTGCCCTGTTCTGAGGCGGAAGATAATGACTTTGTTCTGGTCTGTCCATAATAAAATAGTCGTCTTGTGCTGGGGCTGGTGGTTTCCTGATCGATTTAATGATTCTTTTCTTTTGGTGGTATGTGACTGGTACATCTGGCTGCTCTTTTTTCGCACCTTCCCCTGCCAGTTGATCAGCTTTCTCATTTCCAGGCACTCCACAATGAGACGGTATCCACTGCATTACGACTCTTCGCTGAACGCTGAGTTGTGTCAGCAGTGTTTGCAATTCTGGTAGTTTCCTAGACTGGAGTGCTTCAAAGTACTGATTTAGCATCTGTAAGCATTACCACATACTGTGAGCCAAGGTTGGTATTTAGCAGTTTCTCTGTAGCTATCTTAATAGCCTGGGTTTCTGCATCGTAGTTATGGCAGTACTTCCCGGTTGGTACGCTGGACTTATCCCTAGTACCATCTGGGAATTCGATGTACACTCCAGCACCACCATTTCTAACTGCACTTTCTGCGGACCCATCTGTATAGACTCTGACCCATTGTTCTTGTGGGTATTCTTCATCAATATAACTGAGGGTGGCCATTTTTGCGTTGTACACTATCTTGCTCTTTCTTGTCAAATATCCCTTTCACATTTGTCTGGATTTGTACCGTTAGTTTACATTTTTCTCTCCATGGGGTTTGTTCCGGAATACTTTTTAGTGGGCAGCCAATTTCTGGAAGGTCAGGAGTTTGTCTACATATTCTTTTTGCTTGGTGTATAAAGCTGCTTCTTTTTAACCGTCCCAAGGCTAGGTTCTTAAATCTATTTTCCATCGGGTGATCTGGCATACTGAGGGAACTTTTCAGCTTGTATTTGCAACTTTGTATCTCTGCGTTCTCTCAGTGCCTGTGTTTTCCCAGCTTTCTCCATTTCTAATATGGGGGTTGATTTCATCCCTCCTGTGATGACTCTGAGCGCTTGATTTTGCACTTTGTCTAACTCCTTTAATGTGGTACTAGATGCTGAACACCATGCAGTTGACCCATATTCCAAGTGTGGAAGTATGCTCTGCTTGTATACTTTATTGAGTATTTTCCCATCTGCTCCCCATGTGGTTCCACTTTGTTTTCTTAGTATTGCTGTCTTCCTCCTGGCTTTGGTTGCTGCCTTGTTGATATGTTTTCTCCATGTCAACCTGTCATCAAATGTGACTCCTAGGTATGTGGGCTCTTTATCATCTCTCAGGGGTATTTCGTTTATTTTGATGGTGCCAGCTTTTTGCTTTGGGGAGAGGGTGAATAGTGTGGTGCTACATTTGTCTGTGTTGATGCTGACACACCATCTATTGGCCCATGCCTCAAGTGCATTTGTAGCCCGCTGTAGTGTTTTTGTGGCTATCGTTGCATGTTCATTGGTGCACCACAGTACCAGGTCGTCGGCGTACATTGCCATTTTGATTCCATTTGGTATCTCAGCAACCAGATCGTTGATAAATAAAAGAAAAAAGTGTGGGCGACAGGACACCACCTTGAGGGACGCCTTGTCGCAGTAGAACTTTTTTACTTTTAAAACCATCTACCTGTACCCGGGCTCTTCTGTTATGTAGATATGCTTTAATCCAATTGTACATTTTTCCATTTATTTTATAGTTTTCTCAATTTCTTCAAAAGCCCCTCCTTCCAAACCTTATCAAAAGCTTTCCTTAAATCTATCCATGCCGCGAGTACCAGTTTCTTATCTTGAAAAGCATCCTCTATTTCTTGGGAGAGGTATGTTGTCTGGTCTTCCGTAGAATAGAACTTTCTAAAGCCCGCCTGCTGTGGTGTAATGATGTTTTCACTTTCAATGTACCACTGTAGTCTGAGGTTGGTGATGCGCTCCATTGTTTTACAGAGACAACTTGTGAGGCTGATTGGTCTGTAGTTGGAGGCATTAGAACTGTCTTTCCCAGGCTTTATGAGGGGTATCATAATTGCCTCTCTCCAGATCTGTGGAACATTCCCTGTTGCCCAACAAGCATTAAATATCTGTAAAAGCTTTGTTTTGGCTACTTTTCCTAAGTTTCTGATCATTTCGTTTGATATACCATCTGCTCCTGGTGACTTCAGCATTTTCAGCTTTGAAATGGCCAACTCCAGTTCATTAAGTGTAATTGGCACCTCTAGCGCCTCTGATGTTATTTCTTTCTGACTTCTAAATTGTGTCTTTTCTTGAATTTCGTGTTTTTTCTCTGAACTGATTTCAATGTCGTTATCTAAAGCAAAAGTGTCCGCAAATAGGTTGGCTGCCTCTTTTCCTGTGACCATGTTTCCATCTTTCTGCAGCGTGATCCCTGCCCTGATAAACATATTTTTTGATATTTTTTAATGGGTTTTTATATTTGTCATCAACTTTTTTAAAATGCAATTTTGTTTTTCCATTGAGATGTATATTTTGTTTATCAGTTTGCTCGTACACACATTTTTATTAGTTCTCAATTCCTATTTGTTCTGTTCTTCTTCTTCTTTTGTCATATCATGCTACCAGGTTGTAGCCCAGGGATGAAGTTTTCAGTATTTGTCTTGCCCTTCTTGGGTGGCTAGAGTGATGGATTTGTTTAACTTTTTGTGGTTTCATCTACACCATTTATTCATAAATTTCTTGGTCTTTTTCTTAGATGTTCTACTGTAAAAAGTCTTATAAGCAGTCTGGTCTAGCTGCATTCTCACTAGATGGCTGAACCATTTCATTCTTCGTCTGTCAATATAATCCAGACAGACTTATTCCCACATTCTCTCTAATGCTGGTATTCATAACCCTGTTTCATCTATTGTTGTTTGTGACCTTGTTGAGACAGCACATTTCACATTAAGTTTTTTGTTGTTCCAGTGCCCTATTCATTGTCCATGTTTGGCATTGATAAAATAAAGTAGGGCTAAAGATGCTATTAATCATTTGTTGTTTCGCTGCAAGTGAGACATTCTGGTGTCTAAACTGTTGTGCTGTTGGTAGTAATAATGTGAATTAATCATTTTGAAATCTTCTCCCCCCCCCCTCCCTCCCTTTCCAATTCCAGAATGGTATTGTTGCATTAATCAGTCTTTCCTCTGCCATTCCTTGTGAATATGTTTCTAACATAAGTGCATGTTTTCACAGATGTTCCCAATTTGCTGGTGGTTGTTACGGACGGTCAGTCCAATATCAACCATGAACAAACACTGCCAGAAGCCAGGCAGATTAAGGCAGCTGGAGCCACGATTGTTACTGTAGCCATTGGTCTTGAGAAGAATTATGAGATTCAGGGACTAACCTCACCCCCTCTTGATGAGAACATTGTGGAAGTGACTGATTTTGATGGCCTTAGCAGACTTTCTCGGTTGATTGTTGCCCCACTGTGCTCAGGTTTGTCAGACTGTTTGTGACATGTCATTTCTTTAAAGATATTTACCTAGATAGTATTCTTAAGCTCCTTTTAAAATATAAGAATTTGAAAAATGAAGAAAAGGCACTAATAACACAAAGCATTGCCAGGCATATTTTACTGTATCTCATCAGGTGTATACTACAGAATAAATATATGTGAAGCAAGTAAGTGATTCCTTTCAATTGAAACTTATACTGCTCTCAAATATAGCTGCCTGTTTCGTTCACAAGTGTAATTTTTTAAGAGATCCCTGGAGATCAGCATCCAGGCTATGGAGTTTGAGCTTTCTGCAGTGCCCTCTGCAGGTGGCTCCAGTTCTTTGGAGAGAGACCATGTTAAATTAGATTAAACCTGAAGCAAAGACGACGATCCTGTTTGCTTTGACTTTTAACTTTAACCACAGTAAATGTAAGCTTACAGCCACATCTTTTTTCCTCAGCAACACCGGATAAGAATGGCTGATAACAGTGGCTTCTGCAAACCAAGCAACTATCAGCTGTTTCCTGTTAACAAAATCTGACTTGAGTTATCCTTGTTCACTATGTGACCAGAGATCAGTTGCATTGTTTTGGCATTAATGATTAGGAAAACAAGTAGCTGAATATATACCAATGTTGGTTACAAAAACTAATGCAGCAAAACTTAAACTGCAACAACTGGACCTTTTTTTCCATTCTGATTTAAAGGGTGGGAGGGGAAGGATGGGGATTTGACCATGTTCAACTTGCTGCGAACAGCTTTAGTTATAATTATGGTCTGGTTTCTCTGTGATACCTTTGCTTTTCTTCCCTTTTATTAGTGGATAGGCAGAAGTCAAAAATTGCCACGGCAATGTAATTATAAAGCACTGAAAGATGGCATTTATAGATCAAAGGCAATAAATGAAATGTATCAGTTATGACCACTTTTATCAGGACAAAACTGATGAAAACAGGGTTAACCAGACTGAAATATTTTGTTCAACTTCATCCCAACCCATAATGTCTGCAGTAGGTTTGGCATGTGCTGGAGTAATCATAATGTCAAGGCTATTGTCACTAGCAGGCTCAGATTCATCAATGACAGCAGCAGCAGTATGGACAGTTCTAGACTTTTTCTCTTACCATTTGACTTGTAAAAATCATACAAAAATTGTATCACACTGATTTATTAAAAAAAAAATTTTTTTATTTAACCTATTGCCTCAGCATACTTGAAAAATAAATTAATTCCTTTCGCTAAATCTAGTTTTTCAAAACAAGATTATACAAGTCAATTTTTCTAGCAAATGAAACAATATTAGACTTCTATGTCCGAAGTCTTTTAAGTGGCATATCCAAACATGAGAGATTGGGTCACAGTTTAAGTGCCATTACATCCGCAAAGAATTAACATCTTTACTAGATTTTTTCTAACATTTACTAGCATCTGTACTAGGTTTGTATTTAAATTTCTTAGCAATTGCTTTATGAAACATATTATTTAACGTACATCAAGGTTTTATATTTCTCTGACTAGAAACACTGGTTTTCTTCAAATTCCAGAGTTACTACAACTGATCTTATATTTCAGGTGTTGTCATATTTCAGGTGATATTATAATTCATTTTTCAAGCAATATTTTATTCCAGCGATGTTGTATTTCAAGTGATGTAATAATTAGGTTTTATTAGATGTGATGTAATACTTCAAGTGATGTTATAACTATTCTGATGATGTTGCAGTTCGAGTGGGAGCTGTGGTGACTAGATGCTCACTTTCAGAGCTTAAGGTCTTGGGATTAAATCTGCGTCAAGGTGGATTTCTCAAATTAGAATTCACCTTGGCTGCCATGTTGATGCAGCCTCAATGAGTACTAGAAATGTATACAAAGAGTTCAAGTAATTTTACATTTTAAGTGATTAAAAATTGTATTCTGTTGTTTTCTTACTGACTTATCTCATTACAGATAATTCTCACTGGTAAATGCTGTTTCTATTATTTTGACAGATACCAACCTATGTGACAGGAACCCATGCAGGAATGAGGGTGTTTGTGTAGATGGTTTGAGGTCCTACATGTGCCTTTGCACTCCAGGATTCTATGGTGAAATCTGTGACAAATGTATGACTATTCACAATAAACTATAGTTATAAATCTAAAATAATTCTAATTTTAAATATACACACACCACACACTCATACATTTGTATATGTGAGTGCATGTGGGAATTAATATATGTAACCTTCCTCTGCTGCTGTCAGCAATGGAGATAATTACTTGTTTTTTCCTTTCCTTCTCCTCTTCCTCCGTCTTTTTCTTTTTCCCAAGCCCCATCATAGAAAGATCATTAATACAGTACAACTGGCAATGATCTGTGGACTACTTACCAAGCCTGCAGACATATTCTTTATTATTTTGTTGACTAAACGTGAAACAATAATATATTTCCCTCATCAATTTATTTAAACGGCGTATATATTTTAAAGTGTTCTGAAATGAAGCTGGTGTATTTCAAAACAGTAGGGGCCTCAGTTTTTTTTTTTTTTTTAGCTAGAGCATCATCAAGTAATTCATGGCTGTAAAGTCAGAGTTCTCTTCAATTTCTATGAGACGTAGGCTTTGCTCTGAACTAAAATACACTATGTTAGCTGTCCTTTTTAAGGTAAAAATAAGAAGAAGCAGAAGAAGAAGAAAAAAAGAAAAGTAGTAGAAGAAGAAGGAGGAGGAGGAGGAGAAGAAGAAGAAGAAGAAGAAGAAGAAGAAGAAGAAGAAGAAGAAGAAGAAGAAGAAGAAGAAGAAGAAGAAGAAGAAGAAGAAGAAGAAGAAGAAGAAGAAGAAGAAGAAAAAAAAGAAGAAGAAGAAGAAGAAGAATATTTCTATTTATTTTCCAACTTTCATACTGGCTTATAGATCTCATTATTTGCTTCTGTCATCATCATCATGTAGCAGGTCCTTTGCAGAACGTCACTCTCATCCCGGTCTGCTGAAAGAAACTCGGTCTCTCACCAGCTCTCCCGCCTCATGTACTTTCATACTCAAGGAGTCTCTTATATTCTGTGCCCATCTTTGTGTCGGTCGGCTCCAACCCCTCCTTCCTGGTACCATGCCTTTTGCTATAATTTTTTCCAATCTGTCGTGGCCCTTGATATGACCAAAATGTTTCAGCTTCCGAGACAGGAAGCTGTTTATTAGCCAATCTTCCTTGATGTTCAGATCTTTCAAGATGTCAGTATTTCTCCTTTTCTTTGTCCAAGTTATTCTGAGAATCTTTCAATAGCATTTCAGCTCTAAAGCCCCTATTCTCTTTCTTTAGGACTGGGAGAAAGTTGACGACACACATCCGTATGTTGCCACGGGGAAGAAGCATGCTCTCAAAATTCTAACTTTGATCTCCTTGCTGGTGCTTAACCATAGACTTTTAAGGCTGTTCAATCTTTGCATTGCTATGGCCATCCTCTTTTTAATTTCTGTCAAACAGTCTCCATTGCTGTTTATTATAGAGCCTAGATATTCAAAATGTGTGACATTTTCAATTTCTTCATCATTTATTGTTATTTTTGGGTGACAGCCAGTTTTATCTGTGGACATTATTTTATTTTTAAAAAATTTAAGAACAGATTTTGATCTTCACTGTGCTTTTGGACAGACAATATAAAATTTTCCATTCCCTTCATGCTGTTTGAAAGGAGGACTGTCATCTGCCTAGCAAATTTCCGGAACAGGTTTCCCACCAATTTTGAGCGGATCATAACTGTCACAAGTCTGGTCATTTTTGACATTGCTCATTATATTTTCTGTGTATATAATGAATAGGTATGGTGAGAGAATGCTCCTCTCTTTGCTTCTGTACAAAGAACAATTGCTGATTATAAAACACAACCTTACCATACGCCTCATTTAAATTTTAATATACATTTGTGTATATGTAACTACTTCCATCAGCGACAAACAGCATTTCTGTAATATAGGCTTTGGCATCTCTAGCAACTGCCATATGCATTTGCTGCATGTGCATACTTCTGGATTGTGCTGGGACTAATTATTTGTTACCAGTTTTTCAAATGAGACAGTAAGGGACATTTCACTTAATTTTCCCTGGCACAGGAACGGATCAAGTATGAGGTGACCCGATTGCAGTGCAGTTAACAATTTTATGAAGGCTAAGACAGTTTTTACACATAATAATCTGTCCAATATTATGTCACCGAAAGTAGTTGATAAACATAAATGCCTTGTTTCAAAATCCCCCAAAACACACACATACACATACATCTATACATACATACACACACATATATATTTCCAAATTATAACTCCTAATGGTTAAACATGTTATGTTTGATTAAATCTCCAGTCAGTGCCGGCATGGTGGGGAATGAACAGACAGATTGACTGCATCTGCACCACTGGGTGGTGAATTAATACATGACAAGGCAGATGCAGTCAAAGTCCTTGGGGACAAGCAAAGGAGTCAGAAGAGAAGCAAGATCATTATGACCTGAAGAAAATGAGGCACCTGGGTGCAACCAGAGGGTCTGGCTGGCTCACTACACTCAGAGGAAGGCAAGACAGACATTTAACCAGATTACGATCCCTACCATTAGTTCTTGAACTCTGCTTTGGCTGCTGAAGATAAAGATGGAGCACACATGGGAATGCCCAGAGTGTTGTGATGTCGATTCTTGACTCAACTCTAATCATATAATTAAATTAGGCTATCCTCCTAATAACGGCCACATATTATGGCAGCCAAAAACACACCCTGACATGGCCTCAGTCACATGTAAATTGTGGACTTTCGGCAAATTAAATTGCGGACTTTCAGTGACTACCGCCACTGCCGAGAGTATCTCCCGCGCTGCTATGCGTGGCGCGGAGCGGGGCTAAACTAGATGGCTGTGACTCTCAAGCAGCAGCTTCTGCATCTCCTGCAGCTTTGCTCATGAGTCCCAGCCATCTAGTTTAGTTCCCCTCTGCACTGCGGCATGGGAGATACTCTTGGTGGTGGTGGTAGTCGCTAGAAGTCCGCAATTTACATGTGACAGAGGCCCTGTTTTTGGCAACCATAACATGCGGCTGTTATTCAGGGGATAGCCTTAAAATGCTAATATGCTAATGCTACTACCACTCATAAGTGCCTTTGCATACAGTCACCTTTTATATAATTTCAGCATGTGGGCCCCCTGCTGATGTTGTCCTCATTCTGGATTCCTCAACTTCTATTGGCTCCGCACAATTTAGTGCCATTAAAGGATATGCCCAGACATTGGTCAGTGAAATGAACGTGGAGACCTGCAACATCCATGTCGGTGTGATCAAGTACAGTTCTGCAGCCATGATTCAGTTCAACCTAGGAGTCTACGACACAGAAGATGAAATCATCCAGGGAATCCAACGGATTAGCTTCACTCCTGCCAGGGCAAACATGGCTGAGGCTATCAGAGTTGTACGCACACAAATGTTCAACAACAGAAATGGAGACAGGTTTGGAAAATTAACAGTTCTTTGATGATATCTCACGATTATATTTTTCTGCAGTATTTCTCTGATATTTACTTACCTAAATATCATACTAATATCTTGGCATACAGCCAAATTCTTTAACATGACAGGATAACATAGAACAGGGAGGGATCTTTACTACAGTGTGTATATGCTGTGTATGTGATTGCTCATTTCAGTTAATCACTTGAAGACTGATTTTAAATTCCAAAGTATGATGAGTTGGCTACCAGGTTATCTAATCCCTGACATTTGCTTGCATACTACTACTACTATTGCTGCTGCTACTGCTGCTGCTTTTCCTTTTGCCTCTAGTTCTACTGTTTTTTTATAGATCTTCTTCATCTCCTTCTTGTCACCCTTAAAAGACTGGTCGGCAGATTGAATCAGAGTTTAGATCTAAGCTGTGCTATTTGTTCCTTCTAGCCCAACACACTGTATGAGAATATCCCTGGCACAGTGATGTCATTTCTTGATTAATTCATTCATTAATTTTGCCCAACACATCAATTGTCAGTAAAATCTTTATTAGTGCCTTTTAGAACCTGCTAGTTAAGGGACAGTTGGTTTATTCCCCCCCCCCCCATCCTGTGTTTTCCCCCCTTTAAATGAGGCCTCATCGGAAAAACATTACAATTGTCAACGTAAATTTCTACAGTATTATTCATCACTTGTCTATTCCTTTATTCCATTTTATACTGTATACTTATAATAATTAAATGATATGGATGAACTCCAATCCAGCACCTTTGACCTCTCATATCAACGTTCAATTTAGTTTTTTTTTTCATCCTCACTTGATTGATCCCTTAATTTCCAATTTTAGTCTCAGTTTGGTGATTCTCTGCTCTTTCTTCTCAGAATTTGTCCAGTATAGCACCACATTGTCTCTCTTATTACTGTTGATACTAGTGGCTGCCAACAGGTTTATCTTTTTTCTTCACCTCTCTTGAGTTTGTCACATTTTATGTTCGAAATTTTCTTTAGGCATTTGTGTTTTTTTAATGCATTTAACTTGGTTCTAAAACTAAAGAATTTAGAGTTCCAGATTTTATTCAGGCTTTTAAAAGCTGCTAATGCCTTGCCGATGTGTGTTGTAATTTTCTCTTGTGAACTTGTTTCTTTCCTCAGACCTAGTGCTCGTAACATTGCTTTCCTGTTGACTGATGGCTCTGCAGAAATCAACCGTGACATCACTTCATCAGAAATTGATCTGACTATTGATGCTGGTGTTCGTCTTGTTCCCCTTGGGGTCAGTCCTAGGGACCGTACAGAAATTGAATACATCGCAGAAAGTCAAGGCCTACGACTCATGGAAATTGAGGAGAACTCTGACTTTACAGCCATGAGTGACCAGGTCCTAGAAGCTGTGCATGACCGTAAGTCTCAAACAAGAACATTCTGTGACATTTGCTAGAGTAGCATTCTTATGTAGTGGAATTAGTTTTGATACCACTAACAAATATCCTGTTTAACCCTCAGGATTATATTTGGATCTTTTCACGTTTTCCGGCCATCTACACACTTTCTCAGTCTGATCTAGGTCAAAGGAGTGTTCTGTTGTTCTGCTTTCTTCTAAAAAAGTCTCTTGTGTGCCCTAGGCTAAGGTTGTGGATGGGGGAGAAGGGGGGGGGGGGGGTTGGTTTAGGGCCAGTTCTAGATGTTCTGAGGTTGTTAAAAGCTGTGTCATCATGTGGCGTAGACTATGCGACATCGGCGCTGATGTAATTGCAGGCAAGACAATGTGATGCCCCTCCAACATAGAAGAGTCTGAGAAAGTAGGAAAGAAAGGGCATCCATTATGTAGATGGGTGGAAAAAACGTAAACTGGACCTTGTAATTTGGATAAATATTTACTTTAAATCTCTTTCAATATCTGCAAACACAGACTACACAGTATAGTTATATAATTGTTTGAAAGTACACTTAAAATGTGTTGAATGTGACAGTCTATACTCGTAAAAGCTTGCATAACCAAACACAACTGGTAGACATAAATATCCATTATTGAAACAGAAAAAAAAATACTCTCTGGGGTTGTTAAAAGCTGTGTCGTCGTGACATTGGCACTGATGTAATTGCAGGCAAGATAATGTGACATCTCTCCAACAAGAAGAGTCTGAGAAAGTTATAAAGTTATATCAATTATAACACAGAAGGGTTGAACAGGATATTGTTGTTTAAAATTACTTCTACGTCTATTGTCCATTTAGATATATACTTTTGCTAATGTAGAGTTTTTTTTTTTTAAATCATTCATTTTCAATCATTTATCTAATTTATTTTGTTATTTGAAATCCTGTTAACACCTTGAAGATTATAGTTAAGATGGGTATTAAAAAACGATTACTTTGATAATGGTAATTGTGTTGTGCTTTAGAATAATGCACTTATTATAATGAATTTACATCTTTCTCATAGTTAGCTGCTGTATCCCATTCACCCATAGATCTTAGTACATTTAATAAACACACTATTTTATGTATATGTTCCTTGTAATGTGTATATTTCATACTTTGTTAAACTACTTTATGAGCAATATTTTGTGCTCAGTGGAGATAAGAAAAAACAAAATAAGTTTTAATTCTTTTGTTCCTTTTTTTTTTTAAAAACAGAAAGTAAAAAACACAAATATTTAAATTTACACACAAACACCCACCCCCTCCCACATACACACATAACACACACACACAGCGCACGCACACACACACATTCACAATTAATTTTTTTGAACACACACACACACATTCATGTTACTAATTAGCAGATTTTTTTATTCTAAAATCTGTATTCTGTTTTAGTATTTTAAGCCCCATGGCTTTTCTAATACTACATATTGAGCAGATTTTTATAACTTCATAAAGACATCAACATTGAATGAATCTAACAAACCTCATGTATTAGTTCATCTTCTGTTTTCTGTCTAATTACAGCGGTTACAGGTATCACAATTCTCACATTTTTATTACAATATTTTATGCACCACGTGTCTAACCTTGAATAATCCTTTTTAAATTGAAATGTTTTCTGTGAGACATACCTTGAATTATCTTGCATTGTAATTTAAACCTTTTTTATAATGCAGTAAAAACAAACCCTCTATCTTTATTACTAATAAAATGTCCATATTGCACACTATAGAAACAATGTCTGTGTTTTATGCATAGTATATTGCTAGCGCTGTCAAATTATATAGACTGACATACATTTTTACATTGTGCTATTGTGCCACTAACGTTCCACATAGGCAGGTCCCGCAGTAGGTTAATTCATTCACCTTTATCCTGTGAAATGTTTTTAATATTGTGAATTCCTTCTATTTATTCCAGCACCTCTGGTCTTTTACAACAGTCTGCATTCAGTACAGGGTTTTTCATGGACTATTTTTCTCAGTCAGTTTGTTTCCCATTCCAGTTCCTTTTTTTTGTGGGTGATTCTTTTTTCACTTAATCTTAGAAGGCAACCAAATTATTGACAGATTATTTTTCCAATACTGTTTATACCAGCAATTGTCCCGACATTTCTCTGATCTCTTTACCATTCCAGAATTCAGGCTATTTAAAATTCATTATTGTCCCCCAGCATTACAAAAAAATATGTTTAACATTTGTTCCAAATCTTTATTCATCTCAATTTTTTACCAGCAAATGTTAAAACTGAAAGAACAATAAAATTGAAGGTTTGATTTTAAAACTGAATAGTTTAGAATTCCAATTTTTTTTTTTTGCTTCTCAAAGCTGGTGCTGCATATACTCGCAATTCTAATAATATCTTTAAATACCATGAATAAAGCACTAAAACAGTGTGAATAGTGTGCCATTTGGAGTATAATTACATTCTAGTTGTTGTCAGCGGTCACACACACTAACTCCTACTGCAATAACTCCTACAGCATTGAAATCCTTGCTTGTGGTCATTGTGTGATAATTCACCCAGCCCTAAGTAACATGCTGTGTGTATTTTTTTCTTAAATCTCAACCATCTCGAAACAAAAACTCTTGCTCTTTACATGTGATCAAAGCATGCTTACAAAATCTGGTCTCTATGGTGAGCATTTCTTATTCAAACTGAAAAATGTGTACTTGTGACTTTTTTTTTTTTAAAATAATTGTTTTTTTTCTCTCTTTTCTGCCCTGTTCTAAACATTCCTTGTCTCCTGTCAGTTATTTCAGTGTAACCATATAACATTGTGCCCTATTCTATACATTCCTTGTCTCCTGTCAGTTATTTCAGTTTAACTATATAACATTCTGCCTTGATTCTATACATTCCTTGTCTCCTGTCAGTTATTTCAGTTTAACTATATAACATTCTGCCCTATTCTATACATTCCTTGTCACCTGTCAGTTATTTCAGTTTAACTATATAACATTATGCCCTATTCTTTACATTCCTTGTCTCCTGTCAGTTATTTCAGTATAACTATATAACATTATGCCCTTGTCTATACATTCCTTGTCTTCTGTCACTTATTTCAGTTTAACTTTACAACATTCTGCCCTTGTCTATACATTCCTTGTCTTCTGTCACTTATTTCAGTTTAACTTTACAACACTCTCTTCTTGTCTATACATTCCTTGTCTTCTGTCACTTATTTCAGTTTAACTTTACAACATTCTGCCCTTGTCTATATATTCCTTGTCTTCTGTCACTTATTTCAGTTTAACTTTACAACATTCTGCCCTTGTCTATACATTCCTTGTCTTCTGTCACTTATTTCAGTTTAACTTTACAACATTCTGCCCTTGTCTATACATTCCTTGTCTCCTGTGAGTTATCACTGTTCAACTTTAAAACATTCTGCCCTTTTCTATACATTGCTTGTCTCCTGTCAGTTATCACTGTTTAACTTTATAACATTCTGCCCTATTCTATACATTCCTAGACTCCTGTCAGATATCACTGTTCAACTTTATAAAGTTTTCTCTCTCATCATTAAACCAGTTACTGGATGTTGTGTGCATGTGTATTCTCCCAGCTATGTTCGAGATCATCGACTCGTGTCAAATATAGCATGACCCTTAACCCACAACGATGATTCATTCTTTACTGGTGATAACTACCACACTGAATGTTTGTTGTTGTGTGTTGCATGTTGCATTTCATTTTATTTGTTGCGTGAAGTTAGTCTTTTTTTTTTTAATTGGTAACATGGAAGAGGATGATAGTAGCATTAGCAGTTTCATATTAATTCTTTCATTATCAGTTCTATTTTATTAACAAACATAAAATGCGTATTTCTACGTAGACAACTTACACAAGTATATGAGCTTACCGACATGATATCCATTCATTAATAATTGTTAACTTGCTTTCATTTGCTTTTCATCAGTAAACATAACTTTATTTTTGTTAATCTTTATCTTATTTTCAGTTAACTTGCTGACATTTCATGGTTGGTTGTTTAAATTAAATAAAATTCAACTAAACTACATATAAGCTGCTAAAATTATAACATTTTAACATACATACTTTCGTTTTAACACATTGTAATTGATAATTTGCTCTTTAAGTTTAACACTGGTTAAACACAATTATTCTGCATTACAAATTATGTTTTCCTGTCATAAATTTCAATAATGCGGACACAAAAAATGTATTGAACAGTTCATTTCCTGGCATATTTCGTTGTGTCTCATCAGATGAGGCAATACATTGCACATTGCATTTTTTGTGTCCACATTAAAAAAAAAAAAAAATTATTGTTTATGTTAAATACTAAAATTAAGTGAAGTTTTGTGTTTAATATTTGTGTAAGTTTCATAAAGACACGTTATGTTACAGCTCAAAATCACTGTTCACCGAACCCATGCCAGAATGGTGGAGAATGTGTGAATGCACCACTTGGCTTCACCTGTGTGTGTTCTAATGGATTTGCTGGTGAACTATGTGACAAATGTGAGTGACAGTTAGTCAGTGACATTCTTCATCTTCTTCTTAGCGTTCTCCTTCTGTAAACTCCAGCAGAAATTTCTGGCTATTCATCCACTTCTGAACTTTGATCATGTTTCAGAATTTGAGTTCTGCATGCACATCCATTTGATAGATCTGGCTCACTTGTATGCAGATGCACTTTAAAGGGAAGTCCCTAATCAGTCATGGTTTATGACATGTCAGTGACATTCAGTTACTAGCGCCCATCTGTTTAATAGTTTTGTAAAAATATAGAGTTAGCCATTGAAGAAACTGAGCAGTCATGTAAAAACCATGCCCAAAAAAAAAAGACGTAACATGACATAATAAGGGTATTTGGTCAGATTGTGCACATTACTTTCCTGTCCAAGACATTTGCCAGAAAATTTCAGGAAACAAGTTGGGACAGAAGCAGCACTAGACTACATCAAGAAACAGCAGTGAAATGGTTTGGGCATATGACAATATGCCAGATAGTGCATCATTGAGAACCCATCGTTGGAAAGATGGAATATCAGATGATGTGAATACCAGCATCTAGCAAATACCAAGGCTGGCACCTGATGCCTCTTCGAAATCTGATAATGAGAGGTAGAGCAGGCTAGAGAAGAAGAATAAGAGCTATACCCTGATCCTGAGGCTGTAGATGCAGTATGAGGGTGGAGATCATTTTGGGGACAGCTTTGAGATGGTAACAGAGCTACCAAAGCTGCCAGAGTGTCTGATTCTCAATCCCAATTGGTAAAATCCAAATTGAAGAATTGTGGCTTGACTAGATACAAAGCATCACCAACAATTGTCACATGACTAGATACCTACCATCACCAACAACTGTCACATGACTAGATACCAAGCATCACCAACAAATGTCACATGACTAGATACAAAGCATCACCAACAAATGTCACATGACTAGATACAAAGCATCACCAACAACTGTCACATGACTAGATGCCAAGCATCACCAACAACTGTCACATGACTAGACACCTGCCATCACCAACAACTGTCACATGACTAGATACAAAGTATCACTAACAGCTGTCACATGACTAGATACAAAGCATCACCAACAAATGTCACATGACTAGATACAAAGCATCACTAACAACTGTTACATGACTAGATACAAAGCATCACCAACAGCTGTCACATGACTAGACACAAAGCATCACTAACAACTGTTACATGACTAGATACAAAGCATCACTAACAACTGTCACATGACTAGATACAAAGCATCACCAACAGCTGTCACATGACTAGACACCTGCCATCACCAACAACTGTCACATGACTAGATACAAAGCATCACCAACAGCTGTCACATGACTAGATACCAAGCATCACCAACAATTGTCACATGACTAGATACAAAGCATCACTAACAACTGTCACATGACTAGATACAAAGCATCACCAACAATTGTCACATGACTACAGACCTACCATCCCCAACAACTGTCACATGACTAGATACCAAGCATCACCAACAAATGTCACATGACTAGATACAAAGCATCACCAACAACTGTCACATGACTAGACACAAAGCATCACCAACAACTGTCACATGACTAGACACCTGCCATCACCAACCACTGTCGCATGACTAGATACAAAGCATCACCAACAGCTGTCACATGACTAGATACAAAGCATCACCAACAACTGTCACATGCCTAGATACCAAGCATCACCAACAACTGTCACATGACTAGATGCCAAGCATCACCAACAACTGTCACATGACTAGATGCCAAGCATCACCAACAACTGTTACATGACTAGATACAAAGCATCACTAACAACTGTCACATGACTAGAAAGCAAGCATCACCAACAATTGTCACATGACTACATACCTACCATCACCTAGATGCCAAGCATCACCAACAACTGTTACATGACTAGATACAAACCATCACCAACAACTGTCACATGACTAGATACCTACCATCACCAACAATTTTAGTCCAATCATAAGTCAACAGTTACTAAACATATGAGCTAAAAAAAAGCACACATTGTATAAAAAGGTAAAGTCAGGAGGTGTGAACCAGCGTCATTGCACACGGTTATAAACCATTAGTGCTCTGCCACCAGTACGGATAGCTGATAAGAAACTATTCACCTGTGTCACCATCCGCACGAAACTCTGTAGCTACAGCGACGTTCCTGCATTCACCCCAGAGTGTTAACTCTGGTACCCATTGCCTAGAGGCTGGGTGAACCCAGGGAATGGTCCAGTTTCGAACACTGGCAGTGGGCTGCAGCCAGTCGCAGCTGGATTTGAAAGCAAGTCTCCTATCGACTGCGCTAACACGGCACATTGTATAACGGAACATAATCAGCATTATGAAGACTACCTATGGACAACAGGACAGCTGAAGATGCAACGTTAGGTAAAACAATATATGCAAATTTTAAGTTAATTTGAATCTGGCAAGGAGGGAGGTATGAAAAGAAGAGTACAATTTTACAAGTATGGGTCCGATAAGGGAGACATGCACGAGAGGAAGAATATGGTGTGTTAACACAGTGGGGATCCATCAAGATCCATCAAGGAGGCATGCATAAGAGGAAGGATATGACGTGTTAAAACTCAGTGTGGATCCATCAAAAAGGCATGCATAAGAGGAAGGATATGATCTGTTAACACTCAGTGTGGATCCAGCAAAAAGGCATACATCAAAGGAAGGATATGATCTGTTAACACTCAGTGTGGATCCAGCAAAAAGGCATACATCAAAGGAAGGATATGATCTGTTAACACTCAGTGTGGATCCAGCAAAAAGGCATACATCAAAGGAAGGATATGATCTGTTAACACTCAGTGTGGATCCAGCAAAAAGGCATACATCAAAGGAAGGATATGATCTGTTAACACTCAGTGTGGATCCAGCAAAAAGGCATGCATGCACGAATATGATGTGCTGATAAGTGTGGGTGCAGCAAGGAGTGATAAATCTGTGCTGGACAACAGTGTTATTAAGTGTGCTACTATCATCATTACTCCTCCTTACAACTATCATGGAAGACACAGAGCATCTGTGAATATGTTCAGTGAGCTATGATGTTAATTCTTAAATCAGTCAGTTCCCACCAGCAGACACAAGTGAAAGCCACATACACAAATTTTCTGTCTACGAACAGGACACTGCAAGCTCAACTACCACTTGCATAAAACAAAAAATTGTACAGTCCCCACAGTGTGCCTGTCAAACTGGGCCACAAACACCTGAGCACATTCTGCAGACCTGGACACACTACCTACAACTTTGAAAAGACACCTGGCTTCAAGAGCAAAGTGTGCAGAGGAAGCTATGGGGAACCACGAAGGACCTGCTACTGACATGCGAGTTCATAGGGGCAATCCACCTGAATGTCTGATCTGAGCATACGAAACCGAATGCAAAGAAGAAGAAGAAATGAATCAGTTAGTCAGTGAATTCATCATTACACAGCAGTCATGCAAATTTACACTTTATTTTTCATCTAAAAGCCTGTAATACCAAAGCGGATGTGGTGTTTATTGTGGACTCATCTCGGTACAACAGTGGTCCTGACTTCAGAGCAATCAAAAGATTTCTCCGTGATTCCACCAAGAAAATTGCTTTCCGAGGAGATAGTTTCAGAGTTGCCGTAGTTGAGTTTAGTTCCTCTCCAAGAGTGAGACTGCCCTTGTGGAGGGAGACAACAGACGCACTGTGAACTCTGTCATAGGAAGTCTCAGGTAAGATTCTGATAAAACAAAAACCACCTCACCTGACTGTCTGTCTGCTCTGTCATTAGACATTCTTGAAGTTTCTGACGCACACTGTTACAAGTATTATCTGTTATAAGACATAGTGGGTGAGATTCTGACAACACACTTCAACCCTAAGTGATTATTTGTCATGGGAAGTCTTCAGGTGAGATTCTGGCAATCCATTACAACCCCATAAGATTATCTGCAAAGTCTGTTATAAGAAGTCTCAGGTCATATGATTATCTGTCATAAGAAGTCTCAGGTCATATGATTATCTGTCATAAGAAGTCTCAGGTCATATGATTATCTGTCATAAAAAGTCTCAGGTCATATTATCTGTCATAAGAAGTCTCAGGTCATATTATCTGTCATAAGAAGTTTCAGGTAATATTATCTGTCATAAGAAGTTTCAGGTCAAATCATCTGTCATAAGAAGTCTCAGGTCATATGATTATCTGTCATAAGAAGTCACAGGTCACATTATTTGACATAAGAAGTCTCAGGCCATGTGACTATCTGTCATAAGAAGTCTCAGGTCATATGATTATCTGTCATAAGAAGTCTCAGGTCAAATTATCTGTCTTAAGAAGTCTCAGGTCATATTATCTGTCATAAGAAGTCTCAGGTCATATTATCTGTCATAAGAAGTCTCAAGCCATATTATCTGTCAGAAGAAGTCTCAGGCCATATTATATGTCATAAGAAGTCTCAGGTAATATTATCTGTCAAAAGTCTCAGGTCATATTATCTAAGTTTGGTTTTTAAAGTATTACCAATAACCAGAAGGACTTATTACGAGGAATTTTCATGTCATATTATCTGTCATAAGAAGTCTCAGGACATATGATTATCTGTCATAAAAAGTCTCAGGTCATATTATCTGTCATAAGAAGTCTCAGGCCATATTATGTGTGATTAGAAGTCTCAGGTCATATTATATGTCATAAGAAGTCTCTGGTCATATTATCTGTCATAAGAAGTCTCAGGTCATATTATCTGTCACAAGAAGTTTCAGGTCATATTTTCTGTCACAAGAAGTCTCATGTCATATTATCTGTCACAAGAAGTCTCAGGTCATATTATCTGCAACAAGAAGTCTCAGGTCATATGATTATCTGTCATAAGAAGTCTCAGGTCATATGATTATCTGTCATAAGAAATCTCAGGTCATATTATCTGTCACAAGAAGTCTCAGGTCATATGATTATCTGTCATAAGAAGTCTCAGGTCATATTATCTGTCACAAGAAGTCTCAGGTCATATTATCTGTCACAAGAAGTCTCAGGTCATATTATCTGTCATAAAAAGTATCAGATCGTATGATTATCTGTCATAAGAAGTTCAGGGGATATTATCTGTCATAAGAAGTCTTAGGCCATATTATCTGTCATAAGAAGTCTCAGGTCATATTATCTGTCATAAGAAGTCTCAGTTCATATGGTTATTTGTCATAAGAAGTCTTAGGTCATATGATTATCTGTCATAAGAAGTCTCAGGTCATATTATCTGTCATAAAAAGTCTCAGGTCATATTATCTGTCATAAGAAGTCTCAGGTCATATGATTATCTGTCATTAGAAGTCTCCGGTCATAAGAAGTCTCAGGTGAGATTCTGATAATGCATCACTGCCTCACTTGGTTAACTCTATCTTATCCACGTCTGCTGCTACATTCATCCACAACAATTATTGTAACATATAATCTTATAATCTGTCATAATTAACACCTATAATCCATGCAAATTGCACATAATTATTTATCTCTGAAATGACAAAAACATCTATATATTCCAATTTTGAACAGGATATCTCTGATAAAATCACTACTTACCAATTTTTGCTGGTTACGACTTTAGCTACATTTGTTCAAGATGAAAATTATTTAAAGTAACCACAATCGGAAACAGACCACATTTGCTTTTAGCATGCACAAAATTTGATCTAAAATAGTTATGTGTGCTGTAGTAGCAGCAGAAGTAGCAGCAGTAGTAGTAGAAGTAGTAGCAATTTAAAAAAACAATATCCTGTTTAACCATTCTGGGTTATAATTGGGATATATAGAGTATTGTTTTCTATTTCAGTAATATATGTTTATGTCTACCAATTATGTTTAGTTATGCGATATCACATAGCTTATGTATTAATTGTACAAGATTGTAGAGGTATATATTGTCATATTCAGTATATTTTAAATGTACTTTTAAAACTATGATAGTAATTATACTGTGTAGTCTATATTATCCCATTATTCAGTCTTAACATCTCATATGCAGATCCATGTTTTTGAAATACACTGTTTAATCCTTCCCTGTAGTTCTCTAGAACCGTCTGCTCCCAGCATGTTTTCAGTTGTTGTATGCTTATTGCAGCAGATCATATAATCTTTAAGGGAGTCCTTTGGAGTTCATAATTCTTGCAGTGGAGTAAATAATTTTCACTATCACTCCAAGTTGCTGTTGCATTTATTGATAGAACTTTGATATTTCTGTTGCATTTATCAGTAGAACTATGGCGATGTTTCGTACATGAATAGAACTATGACAGTGTACCATTCATCCATTGAACTGTGATAGTATTCCATTTATCAAAAGAACAACCAGTGTTGCATTCATTAGTAGAGCTATTTAAAAAAAAAAGTAAAGGACCTTTTTCAACGCCATTAGGCATAGAGGGCATATAGGGCTAGACCTATATCTTTATAGACCAATCAGCACGAGATGGGTGATGTGGTCAGCATCACGCCGGCTGCCTTTACTTCCCGGGGCTACACCTGGTACCCACTCAAGGCTGGGTCGACCTCGGAGCCTAGGTAATTTTTGAAAAAAAGTGAGGATCTGCCAGGAAGCGAACCCTTCCTTCCGATTCGCAGCGAGCGTTTAGCCGCTAGGCCAAGGCAACTCCCCAGTAGAGGTATAGCAGACTTAAATTTCATTTTCAGAATACTGACAGTATTTTGTTCATCATTAGAACTTTGACAGTATTCTAATAAAATTAAATTAAAATTAAACTATAACAGTATTCCATTCATTAGTAGAACTGTAACAGTATTCCATTCATCATCAGAATTATGACAGTATTCTCTTCATCAACAGAAATATGACAGTATTCTATTCATACAAAGATCTATGACAGTATTCCATTCACCAGTAAAACTATGACAGTATTCTAATTATCAAAAAAAAAGCTATGACATTATTCCATTTTTCATAAGAACTATGACAGTATTCCACTCACTGATAGAACAATGGAACAGTAGTTGCATTGGTTAACCGAACTATGAAGTTATTCCATTCATCAAGATAACTGTATCAGTGTTATATTATTACAAAAATAATACAGCACTAATACAGTCAGTATTATTAAAACTAACATCTTGCTCTATTAATCAATAGAACCAGAGCAGTGTTCTTTTTGTAACTAAAACTGCAGAAATATTCTTCTATGTGTCAGTAGAACTGTAGCAATGCTCTTAAATGTGTCAGTAGAACTACAACAATGTCCTTTCATGTATCAGTAGAAATACAACAATGCTCTTATATGCATCAGTAGAACTACAACAATTTGCTTTCATGTATCAGTAGAACTGCAAAAATGCTCTTATATGTATCAGTAGAACTACAACAATGTCCTTTCATGTATCAGTAGAACTACAACAATGTCCCTCCATGTATCAGTAGAACTACAACAATGTCCTTTCATGTATCAGTAGAACTGCAACAGTGCTCTTATATGTATCAGTAGAACTACAACAATGTCCTTCCATGTATCAGTAGAACTACAACAATGTCCTTCCATGTATCAGTAGAACTACAACAATGTTCTTTCATGTATCAGTAGAACTGCAAAAGTGCTCTTATATGTATCAGTAGAACTACAACAATGTCCTTCCATGTATCAGTAGAACTACAACAATGTCCTTTCATGTATCAGTAGAACTGCAACAGTGCTCTTATATGTATCAGTAGAACTACAACAATGTTCTTTCATGTATCAGTAGAACTACAACAATGTTCTTTCATGTATCAGTAGAACTACAACAATGTCCTTTCATGTATCAGTAGAACTACAACAATGTCCTTCCATGTATCAGTAGAACTACAACAATGTCCTTCCATGTATCAGTAGAACTACAACAATGTTCTTCTATGTATCAGTAGAATTGCAACAGTGCTCTTAAATATCTCAGCAGAACTGCAACAATGCTCTTATATGTATTAGAAGAACTGCAGCAGGGTCCCTAAATGTCTAAACAAAGTCTGTCAAATGGAAAACAATATGACAGTTAACATTATCCTGCCTTAACCAGGAGACTCAGCGGTGATCCAGACCTGCAAAGTGCTGTCAGACTTGCCAGCAAGAATATATTTGATGGCGCTGGGGATAGAGATGAGGTACCCAACTACTTAGTGATTGTGACCCGAAGTCTTGGGGGCTTGGATTCTGTGGAAGCCATTAATGAAGTCAAGTCCAAGGGCACCAAGGTCATTGGTGTTGGTATGTATTGCAGACAAATGTGGCACTTTAGTGTTGTTGTTTTAACATAGGAAATGATGTTACTGATTCTTTTATTCACTAAGTAGGGGTGCTGCATGGTCTTGAGGCATGGTGTCCACCTCGAGTGCTAGAGGTTCCGGGTTCAGTCCCTGGTAAGGGCTGGGAATTTTTTAAGGTGGACTTGGACTTATAGTAATTCCCCCAGTCTCTGGATAGTGAGATCGGATGCCTGTGTGCATTGTTATGCATGTAAAAAATCCCTTTGCAGTTGGAAATTGAAAATAGTAGACTAACGGCACTTCCCAGGCAAAAGTTTGTGATTAAAAATCTATCCAAAGTGTTTCAGGATCCTCGCCGGTGCTACAGAGCCTGTGCACTGTGTTGAGCTTCTTCAAACTCAGGCTTGAGTTAGGAGAAGAACGGAGCACTTATGGGTTACTACCTGTGTGCCATGATGTTGATCTGTTGTTCAACCCTGAAACCTCATTTACTAAATAGAGTGGGGTTTGTGGGTACTTTTCATCAATTCTATTGTGCCAGTATATCTGTTATCTGCTCCTATTTTTGAATAATCCAATTCAGTTGCTTATCTGAATATTAAAATGGTATTATTCAATGTCCTAAGCTGACATGATTTTTCTACAGGTGTGGACCTTTCTGCAAGTGACCGTAGATATCTGGAGGAGGCCGTGTCATCCCCAATTGACCAGACACTCTTCTTGGCAAACAGTGCCCCTGAACTGGACCAGATAGCCGTTAATTTCATCAACTTTGTTTGTCAAGGTAAATATCTTGTACACGTGATAGTAATTCTTTTTGTCTCTTGTTTTACATTAATTTTTTTTCTGATAGGGCATCTTTATTGACAGGTAACAAGACAGTGACATGTTTATTTGGCTTCATTTGAAACCCCCCTCCGTTATTATATAATTTTGTCTTCAAACTGATTCATTCTTGATTTAATGATTTGATTTGTTTTGCAGAAAAGAATAAGTGTGCTGAGAATCCATGCCGCAATGGAGGAACTTGTGAGAATGGGGAGAAGACATTTGCGTGTCGTTGTCCACCTGGATATGCTGGCATAGACTGCAGCAGAAGTAAGCATATTTTGACTCTGACATCTTGTTTAAACTATTTTCCTTTGGTAATGTTTTCATTTAATGTGGCTTTCATGGCTAAGACTGGTCCCAGAGTAGGCTCCAAAAGAAGGAGTGTCTGGCTGAACCTGAGTGCCTCTTGCATTTCCTGAAGTAGTGGGTAACCATGAATCACCCAGATGACCTGTTTGAAGGCTGTAAAGCCCTTCCACCATGCAAAGGCACAACAGGCCAATCACCTGTTTGCCTAAAACTATGATTATAGGTTATCATAGTCCAGGTTTGCTGGAAAGACACAATCCAGCAGTCCCTGAATGACAGACAGAGGGCTGAAATGGAACAAAGCCAAAGAGAAAACTTCTGATATCAAAGCCTGGAAATCTTTCTGGCAAACCTCTACACCCAGGGTAGAAATGTATTGACTAAGTAAGTAAGTGGCTTTGATGAAAATAAAAAAGATATTTTGGGCATCTTTGGGCATCTTGTTAAAATGCAGCAATACTGCACCACAGCCACTAAACCTAAGACAAGCGGTTACTGCCACAGTAACAGTAAAGGACTCTTTTCCTTAGCTCCAGGCATATTTGACATATAGTACTAAACATTTTTTTTTAATAGGCCATTTGGCACTTAGTGGATAATGGTCATCATCACACAAGTATTTGAACTCTGCACTGGCAACTGAAGATGAGGATTGAGCATGCATGGGAGTGCCCCAAGTGCTGTGAGGTCAACTCTTGACTCAACTCAACTCATCACACCATCCGCCTTTACTTCCCAGGAACTTACCTGGTACCCATTTAAGGCTGAGAACCCTGGTCATTTAGGTAAAAATAAAAGTTCTCTTCTGATCAGTTTTGAGCCCAGGGACTTTAGATCTGCACCACAGCAGCTCCCTTCCCACCATAAGCAATAGACTTCATCTGGAATGAGAGCAACAAGGCACATAGGAAGATGAATTTATGTCTGCAGACACTTTAAATTTACACCTTGTTCATTGAGCACAGGACCACCAACTTTACCTTCCTATGGCAAAAGTGGAACATGATGATGATGATGATGATGATGATGATGTCGTTGAATACATCATCCTTGATGGCAAAGTGGAACAAGATGATGATGATGATGATAATGATGATGATGATAATGATGATGATGATGTCATTGAATACATCATCTTTGATGGCAAAAGTGGAACAAGATGATGATAATGATGATGATGATGATGTCGTTTAACATATCATCCTCATCATCAGCTTCATCAGTCTCAGCAGGTCCAATGCAGAATGTTGTTCTGATTGCGGCACGCCTGAAAGTCTTTCCTTCTCTAGCCAATTCTGCAGCCCTGTGTGCTTTCATAACCTGTGCATCTTCTGTGTCTTACACACACTTTTCTTCAGGTCTGCCTCTGTCTCCTTTCCCAGAAACTGTACTCCCCCCCCCTCCCCTCCCATCACTTCTGTCTTCAGGCCACTGTGGTTTAACATGGCTAAAATACCTCCGCTTTCAGGGCAGGATGCTGTTTATGAGCCAGTTCTCCCCGATGCTCAGATTATGCTGGATGTTTTTCTTCTTCTTGTTACCTAGTATAACTGTATACACTGCTGTCAGAAAAGCTTTGGTTAGACTGTATAGATTTCACAAAATGTTTGGAAGGAGGCTAAAACACAAGGTTAAAGTTACCCCTGCTAGACACTGAAGGATTTAAAATTATCTTTATGTTCAAAATATTTCTTTTATAAAAATATGCAATAAGTGGCATCCGTGGCTTAGGCATTGCGAGTTCCGCTCGTAATTCCAGCGTACAGCGATTGAAACCCACTTCTGGCTTCATAGACTTTTATCATGGTATGGGGCATAAAAGGTCAACCCAGCCTAAAATGGGTGCCAGGATGTATTTCCTGGGGAAATAAAGAGGGCCGGCGTAATGCTGACCACATAACCCACCTAGTGCTGATTGGTCTGTAAAAATGTGGGTGCTCTTCCCATATGCCCGATGAGCCTAAAGGCATGAAAAGAAATCTTTACTAAGAATATACAATTGTTTTACATCATGTCAACAGCCTGTGAAGATAGAGCAGACGTGGTTTTCCTCCTGGACTCCAGTGGCAGTGTTGGTTTTGACAACTTCAGACGCATCAAGGAGTATGTTCAGCATGTGATTGATGGTTTTAACATTGGTTCTGATGCAACACAAGTTGGTGTGGCTACTTTCAGTCAGAGTAGCAGAGCAGAGATCTACCTCAATGCCTACAATGTAAGTTGTATAACAACTTTCTGTAAACCTGTTCCAAAAATGTGAAGTAGCAAAAAATTGTGTTTTGACATTTCTTACCTCCAGCTGGGCTGCGTGGTCTCAAGGCGTGGTGTCCGCCTCGAGTGCTAGAGGTCCAGAGTTCAAGCCCCAGTGAAGTCTGGGAATTTTTCACGTGGGTTTCTAGTAATTTCCATCTGGTCTGTGGATAGTAAGAGTGAATGCCCGTGTGTATTGTTGCGCTCGTTGAAAATCTCTTGGCAGTTGGAAACGAAAAGAGTAGCCTAACGGTGCTGCCCAGGCAAAATTTGGAGTTAAAAATCTACCCAAAGTATTTCAGGATCCTCGCCAGTGCAACAGAGTTCATGCACAGTGCTGAGATTCTTTGGACTCGGGCTTGAGTTAGAAGAAGAACAGAGATTTTATGGGTTACACCTGTGTGCTATGATGTTGATCCTTTGAATAAACATAAACCTCCAGCGGGCCTTTTCTTCTGGAAGCTGCCATAGTGTAGGAGCTAGATGCTTAGCTGCGGATTGAAAGGTAATGGGTTCAGGTCCTGATGGAGCCAAATTCTTTTTAAAAAAATGACCTTGTCTCCAAGAGTGACCCAGCTTCAAATGGGCTCCAAGTGAAGTCATGGGAAGTAAAGGCAGCCGGTGTGATGCTTACCACATCACACACCGTGTGTCGATTGGTCTATAAAATATTTGGTCTAGCCCTATATGTCCAATACGCTTGAAGGTGTGGAAAAGAATGCTTTACTTTTACTTGCCCCTTTAGTCCATAATGCATAGATTTGATCATCATGTTTGTCTGTAATAGCCTTCTGTACTTATTGTACGTAGACTCAGTGTTTATTAGAAAAGTAATGAGAAGGGACAGAATGGACGGCATGTTAGTCCTTTGTGATGTGTAACCCACACAACAAGGTGGTGATGATGATGTTGATTATGATGGTACTCACAAAATAGGACATATTTATTCACAAATTATCAACTTCCTTGACTTCAGTTTTAGTATATATAAGTAAAGTAGCATCTGTGATGACTGGCAAGATTGTGAGAAAAGAACGAATGAAAGCAAAGAGATAAATACCTGGATGGCTGGCCATATGAATTGGATGATACAAGAGCACTGATCTCATATATAATTCTTGTGATTGTGTGGATGGCAACACTGGATGCTTATCGCAGGGCACATGATGATGATCATGATGAAATAATGAATGCACGATAAGAAAAATAACCCAGACTAAGTGTAACAAAGAAGTATGTTGCTGTAATGTACTATCTTTGCTACAGCTTGTACATTGTTTCTATTAGTGATTCTTACAGTGTTTTAATTAACTGTCTTTTTTATTTTTATTTTACACATTTCACTTGCTCTGTCTCAGTTGTCCTTTAATTATTGTGTAATTATAAATAGTTTATTAGTTAACCAATCAGTCATACTCACTGCTCATCGGGCAAGTCATATGTACCCAGATCCCATCTTCAGCATATTCCTAAGCCAATTTCACTTATACCACAAGTGAAATATATTTGTTTATACAAATATTTTAAATGGTGTTGTTTATTCATAGACACATATATGGATCAGTATAAAGTACATACGTGGGGGTGTGGAGTTTGCAAATAAATGTGTATATACTGTCTTCATTGTGTTCAGTGTTACATGTATGTATATACAGTTTGTCTTTTCCCTCCCAACTATTTACCCCCATTCCAAAGTTACTTCCTTCCTTTCTGGCCTTGTTTTGTTTTATTGTTTATCTTAAAGTTATTGAAGTACTCAGATTTCCTGTGCGGACAATAACATTATGTTGTCATGCCCAGTACTTCAGTTTTCAAAGTCTAGGAAGACTGGCGACCATTAGACAGCTTTCAGATGACAACTGAAAGAATTTTAAAAGAAAACTCAAAATGTAACGTTACTGAAATTCATCTAATGTAGAATACCTTGGACAGCTAAAAAGAGCAACCAAGAGGTTTTCAAAGAGGCGGGAGCACAAAGACAACTTATTACAGACATCAGATGGAGACAGTCATCATTTTTCAGCCATGTTATGAGAAAAGGGAAAATAGAACATGCTGTGACCATTCGAAAGATCTGTGAAAGGAATGATAGAGAAAGACAACGAGAGAAGATTCTTGACAGTATTGTTGCATGGCATGGAGGTGAGTCCGCACACGAACTGATACATGCTGCAGGAGATTGCAGATTGTGGAGAGGCATGATTGCCCACGCCAGTTGGCAAGGCACCTGATGATGATAGTCTTCCTAACTCTGTCACCTCTTTTCAACAACTCTGTTCTGTGACCACTGTCTGTATTTACTGCTTTGTATGGCTTTATAGAAAGGGGGGTCATGAGCCAGAGGATTTAGGACTGCACAGCTGGTACTGTCAACACAGACTGTGCAAGTAAAAATGTTTATTTCTGCTCCTAACAGAACACTCCATCACTTTACTGGGAGTCGAACCTAGGTCTCCGGCATGGAAGGATGATGTAAACAACTCTGTTCAGTTCATCTGTAATCCTATATCCCAGAATCAGTTCAGTCCCTCCGTGTATGGGTTCCGGGGTTTTATTTTGGGGAAACAAGAGTAGACCCACTGCCTCCTCAAAAATCATGTTGCAAAAGTCGACTAATAGGAAGTTTCCTTCAAAGTCGGAGTGTATCTGCCTGAGAAGTAAGGAACCAACAGTCTGCAGACAGATAAGTCAGATCTGCATGCAACACTCAGGTTCTGGAACAAGTTTAAAGTCCAGAGGTGGACAAACAATGAGAAAACTTTCCACTAGAGTTCATAGCCAGTGAACGCAAAGAGAAATAATTGTCGCATGCTATTCAGTTTTTTCAAGAATCTTATTTTTTTTTTAAACCTATAGAACTTACTTGCCAGTATTTTCAGAAATTCAACTCCATGTCTCAGAGTGTGACCAAACTAAGCTAACCTTATTTTTGTGTGTGCATAATTTTTAATTGTTGCCTGCTTCTCCAAAGTATTTGAATTTATTGAGTATGCTGAAAAATAAAAATGTATAACAATCAGTGAAAATAGTTCTAAAATTGCCAGAAAGTGTGGTAAGTGCATGATTATGTGCAGAAAGAATCTTTGTTGGTGCATGTATTGATATTCTTTTGTGATATTTTCCTATATGATCAAGGACAAGAGAAAACTAAAGGATGCTGTGAGTGGGATAACCTACGAATATGGCAACACAAACACAGCTTCGGGCATCAAATTGGTTCGATCCAGTCTGTTTTCTGAAGCTAAAGGAAATAGGCCAGATGTGCCAGACTTTTGTAAGTATTTTGCTGGTTACTGCAAAAAAAAAAATGGTTATTGCCTTAGAAATGCTAGAAATAGATTGTGATTAACCTTCTCAAAAGATTAGAGTTTCAGCAGTTATTCTCAAAAGTTCTGACCCTAAGAAACATCACAATATGCAGTAGACTGGATATAGCAGATTATCTGCCAGCTCATTTCCCAACACCCTGGCATGACTGGGATATAGCAAACTACCCAGATTTGAAAATATGCTGGCTCCAGAAATGAATTCATAACGCTCCTCAACACCATCGGGAAGCCTCATGATCCCTGGAGAAAATATCTTACAAAAGGATGCTAACTACCCCGGGACCTTCCGCGAAGTGAGGCGGCCCGGTGATGCTGCTCATTATTGCCATTGGTCTAAAAAAATGAAGCCCTTATATAATGCTAGTGGCACATCATACATGTAGTTGTAGATGCGTTTTTTTAATAGACCAGATGTGACCAACATCACTTTGGCTGTCTGTGCTTCCAAGGTCATTAACCTGGTACTCATTTAAAGCTGGGTCGAACTGGGAGCCAAGGTCACATAGGCAGCTTAATGTAGATTCAAACCCAGGACTTTCAGGCCTGCAAGTAGTGTCACACTGCTACTGCAGCTTCCATTGAGTCATGAGACCTAATTTAATCAGAGTTTTTGTGTGTGGATAAAATAAACACATTTTGAAAACACTACAGTTGACGACCAGAATGATGTTGACCACACCACCCACTGAGTGCTAGTATTCCACTGGCATAAAAATAAATCCCTTATTTTTTTCCCCCTTTGGGTTTGATAGTTCCTTCTGCACACAATGAACAGATGTTGTTTGTTCTTGTCACACATATTTCACAAGACACTAACAATGTGTTCGAGTTGCTGTAAATTACAATCAAATATAAAGATAAACAAATGTTTTCTAAAAAAAAAAACAATTTCATTTCAAGATGACTGTAACAAATTACATTTTTTTTTAAAGATAATTTCAAAAAAATAATTTTTTTCTAATAACAAAACTTTTTTGTGGGAAAAATATCTCTGAAATATTTTTTTGGATCAATGTTAATTTATCAATATAAATTGGATTAAAAATGACAGCAGGTCTAATTAGATAAAAATTTAACAGAAAACATTAATGACATTACTGTAATCAGAAAACTAAAAAAAGTTCAGAGTAATCTTCTCCTACTTCAGTTCATCTAATTTTGCTTTAGGTGTCAAGGAAGATGAAGTTCTCTGATTCCTGCTTATCTGGCTGACTTGACCATGGGCACATTGTACAGTTGTAGAGTTTCTCTGATATTATCTTACCATCTTGTTGTTGCTCTAACTCTCATCTATATCCCTCTCCTCTTTTTGCTTATGTCTTGTATGATATGGCATCACAAGACATTATCTCTAAGCTGGCAAAAAATTATATATGTTTACAGTATTTAACAGTATAAAATCATTTCTTATATTTCAGGCATCAGAAATTATAATTTATTGTGTTTTTTTTTTAATTTTCTTTAGAGTTAATCTCTGGATCAGAATTCATTATCTTGTACCGTGCTGATAATCATAGGCCCTCATGTTTCAAAATCTCACATGATCACCAAAGTCACGATGATGTCAGTGTTCTTTTCTCACCCCCGATCCATATGATCTGAACTATCCAGGTATTTATCTCCTTGCCTTCCTCCTTAGATCAGAATTAGTAATGGCTAGTTGAAGCTCATTGTTTCGAACCAATATTTAATGGAAAATTTCACCACATGTCCACAAAAATAGATCCAGCCATATATATGCCCAATACGCCTGGAGGCCTGAAAAGGGGGTACTTTACTTTTGCTCTGCTATGTAAGTGGAGAGACTAGGCTACTTATATAGTTATCTGAGTGTACAATAAAAGTTCTTCTTTATAAAAAAAAATCTTTGTCAGTATTTGCAAAGTTAACTTAATTTTTATCTTTTAATCTGTCTGCTTAGATTGTATGCTTGTATGATTGTCATTGTTTAACTACATTGTAATCCTAAATAATTGTTACTGTTTACGTGGCGATGTAATTCTGTATAATTGTTATTGTGTTCCTGCAGTGTATGCTTGTATAATTGTCATTGCATACATTCCATCTATGCCTTATGACTGTCATTGTTTACATTCCATCTATGCCTTATGACTGTCGTTGTTTACATTCCATCTATGCCTTATGACTGTCATTGTTTACATTCCATCTATGCCTTATGACTGTCATTGTTTACATTCCATCGATGCCTTATGACTGTCGTTGTTTACATTCCATCTATGCCTTATGATTGTCGTTGTTTACTTGCAGTAATTGTGATCACTGATGGATTGTCCAACATCAATCATGAGGCCACACTTCCAGAGGCAGAGTTTGCTCGCAGGCAGGGCATTCATATCTTCGCTGTCGGTGTTGGAGTTGGTGATCCGTGGGAGTTGAATGGAATAGCCAGCCAACCACCTGAGAATAATGTTTTCCAGGTCAATGAGTGGGGCGAACTGTGGGATTTGTCCGATCGACTCATTGATAAAACCTGTCGAGGTAATGATTGTCTGTACAGTAACTTGGGTTTTTAGACATATAAATAGTATGACTGCTTGCCAATTTTAAATCTGTCAATAAATTTGTGTAAGGAATGGTTTGGTCATGTGTCACAACTACCTCTACAAATAAGAAATGATATGAAAAACTAATGACAGCCCACACTATAATGTGGATAATTGTCACAGTAGAGATAAAAGTTGAATAACTGCTATGGCTGAGATTTAAAAATGGGAACAGTAAATAAAAAATTAAAAACGTCACTGTATTGAAGGCACACACCAGAGCTAGCTTAAGAATTATCCTTCTGTGGTGAGGATGATAAATGAAAGAAAACAGAAAGAATGGCTGGGATAAGAGGGAGAAATTAGAACTATATTGTGTAAACAGTGCTGATAGTTGACACACTATCTTACCAAGAAAATGGTCTGAATAAGGTCCCAGCAGGGACTTTGATGTTTTTTGCACTTGTTATGATAAGAGGGAAACTGGAATATGATGTGACCACTGGAAAGATTTGTGGAAAGAGAGAGAGCGGAAGACAACATGAGAAGATTCTTGACAGCCGGGTGTCAACACACATTACACACAGCTGTGGATCGCAGATTATGGAGAGGCATGATCGCCCACGCCAATCGGCAAAGCACTTGATGATGATGACAATATGACAAATATGAGCCACCTAGATAGATTACAGGACATATTTATGGTTTTCTATATGTGAGAAACTTGCCACATAGATAGATTACAGCATATACTTGTGGTCTCTGTATGTAGTAGACATGCCGCATAGATAGATTATAGCACAGATTTGTGATATCTGGATGTAATCAGTTTGTCACCTAGATAGATTACAAGACAGATTTGTGCTCAGTGCTCACAAATACGAGTGGTATGAATGTATGTGAAAAATTTTGTTCGGATGAAAACCATCATCAGATCCTGACTTTTGTTCCTGTGTTGTACCAGACTCAAGTGTTTGTGCTGAGAACCCTTGTAGAAATGGCGGCACCTGTGTGGCTGGTGTTGGCACCTTTTCCTGTCAGTGTCTGCAAGGCTACATTGGCGAGTTCTGTGAAGTGGGTAAGTTGGCAATCAGTATTCAGTCATCAATTTTTTACTTTCATCAACAAGGGTTTACACTTGTTTCTTTCATATTTTTTATCTCTGAAAATGTGTTCAATGTCATATATACAGCTTCCTATGGGGCCCCATTATGGAGAAAACAAGAATAGACCCATGCCTTCCTAGCAAGCATGTCGTAAAAGTCGACTAATTGAGGACTTTCTTCGAAGCCAGAGTGCCTCTGCCTGAGCAGCAAGAAACAACCAATTACACACAAAAATGCTAGTAAAAATGGATGTATCTGCAACACTCAAAATGTGGCACAAAGCTGACGTCCAAATTGGCAAATAGCCGAGCCTTTCCGCCGGAGCTTACAGGCAAAAACGGAGAAGAAGAAGAAGATATATACAGCTTAGTGCAGCACTGATGGCCCGTCAAATCACTGTGTCCATTAGGGTTTATATGTTACCATTTCTTTCTTTTAAGGTGCTGTGAGCTAATTTCTTTCAAGACATCATCGCTACATTTAGTCCATCGGGTTATCGTCATTTTTCTATTCAAATCACAGTACAGCTGTTTCTATTTAAAATTTCAGAATCAGCTAATTGTCCATGATTAAATTTTATTGATCAGGTATGGTTGTTTATAGCTCTTAAAAACTGTCTTTCTCACCTTTGTTGACAAAGAAAGTTTGCATGGAATTTTCTTCATCTTATTATACAGCGCTCATCAGGAGTGCTGCCCCCATGAAAAACAGGAAAATTTGAAAAGGGGGGGGGGCGGAGGGGGTCCTCTTCTAACTTTCTAGTGGGCAGGGTTCAGGCCTCATGATTGAGTGCAATAATAATAAATATAATGTGCTGATTTGCAGATAAATATAATTTTTGAAATAATATGAAATGTATAAACAAATATTTAAAACGAAAAACACTTATACATGGTTAATAGACCCACATCTATTAGGGGCTATGTCTGTCCTCAACAAAATGGGGGGAGTTTGAGGTGCCTAAGCCGCCATAAATTGTCACCTGTTCTGCTTGTAATTGTATACTTATTCAATTGCTTGCAGGTTGCCAGAGCAACAAAGATATTGTGTTTATCTTGGATGCCTCAGCCAGTGTTGGTGAAGCCAACTTTAAGCTCATGCTGACCTATGTCACCTCCATCATCAAAGATCTGACAGCCTATGGACAGGACCACCACTTTGCTCTCATCACGTACAGCACAGAAGTGAAGACAGTTTTCAGCCTCAATAGGTACTACACTGTCGAGCAGGTTCTTGAAGCCATCCAGACAACAACATACACCTCTGGCTCTACCAACACGGCTGCAGGATTGAGAGAAGCAATTCAGTTGTTCCAACAAGGTAGGCTTGTGGTTTCATTAACTGATACAAGGAGAGAATTGACGTAATGGCAACATAGATATATAAACACAATTAACACAGTAACAATGTTAATATAAGAACACCACTGAAGCAAGAACACTACTGACAAAAAGAACAACCATTGAAGCAACAAAAACAGTAGAAGAACAGGATTGACAAAAAAGCATTGATACATACATAATAATAAACATAAAATCTGCAGTTAAAGAGTTATGTTAACACATGAACAGAACTGACACAGAACAGCACTGACAAAAATAAATACTAATATTAGACCAGTACTGACAAAAGGAAAGCACTGACAAAATAATACTGACACAAGGGCAGTGCTGACAAAAAAAAAATACTGACATAAGCACAGCACTGACAAAACTAATACTGACACAAGAAAAATACTGACAAAAGGACAGCACTGACAAAACTAATACTGACACAAGAACAGTACTGACATAAGGACAGCACTGACAAAATAGTTCTGACATAAGGTCAGCACTGACAAAATAATGCTGACATAAGGACAGCACTGACACAAGGATATTACTGACCAAAAATATACTGGTATAAGAACGGTACTGATATGGGGATAGCACTGACAAAAACAATACTGACATAAGAACAGTATTGACACAAGGACAGGATTGACATAAATAATACCGACACGAGGAAAACATTGACAAAAGGACAGCCCTGACACAAAGACAGTACTGACACAAAGACAGTACTGACTAAAGGACAGCACTGACTAAAGGACAGCACTGACACAATGACAGTACTGACACAAAGACAGTACTGACTAAAGGACAGCACTGACACAGTGACAGCACTGACACAAAGACAGTACTGACACAAAGACAGTACTGACTAAAGGACAGCACTGACACAATGACAGAACTGACACAAATACAGTACTGAGTAAATGACAGTACTGTCACAAAGACAACTCTGATACAATGACAGAACTGACACAAGGACAGTACTGACACAATGATAGCATTGACGAAAATTATACTGACATGAGGGCAACACTGATTCTCTTTTGTAATTCACTCAGCGACCCATAGTTTGACTTGCACTGATGTTTCTCTTTTCCAAAAGTTTTGCTTGTGTATTTGAAACAGTCTTGGAGGACATGATCTGTTGTCTCAGGTGCCAATCCACATGTGCACATGGCTTATTCGCCAATTTTAAATATTGTTGCGAAGTCCATTGTGCAAATGAGTTGAGAAATATGGTCTTTATGGTTACAATATACACATCAGATGAATGGTAGTTGTATTTTCTAATTCTTCTTAGCATTCACAACAAACACAAAGTGACCCTTTTCCACATCTTCAGGCATATTGGGCATATAGGGTTATATTTTATAGATCAGTCGGCACTGGTCTTCAACATTACACCGGCCACCTTTACTTACTAGGACTTCTTGGTGTTCACCGGCTGTATTCTCAAGTGGAAAGTTCTGGTTGTTTGCTCACTTCTGCATTTTGGTCTTGTTCCAGAACTTGTTTTATGTGTATATCCATTTTACAGATTTGCTTTTTGTATACAGCCTGTTGGTTTTCCATTTCTCAAGCAGATTTACTCTTAACTTCAAAGGAAACACCCCTGACTAGTTTTATGTGTTTTATGCTTTTTGGAGGAGGGGAGAGTGGATCGTCTCCTCCTTCTCTTCAACCCTCCAATGAGCCTTTGAACACACTCATTTCATGGTGCCAAAGATCATTGATTATTTGAACAGATGATGAATTCCTTTGTTGCTTCTTATTGGAGAAAAGAGTTCTTAAAAGAAATACAAATGAAACAAGTGAAATATACTAGCCCCATTAGAAGACAATATTCTTAAAAAAAGATACTAAGATAAGCTGTCAGGGTTATGGTAGGCACAAGAAAAATGATGGACGATCAATTTTCTCAAAGCTCTCCAGAAGACAGGATGATTAGATGATTCAGGAGACGATGCAGAATTAGCAGCAGGTCAAAACTACAAGAACTTAATGCCAAAAGAGGTGTTGCCATATATTAACATTGTACAGGTAGCCAAAGAAGAGTAGAAAACTAACTAGAACTGGTATACCAGTTGTCAGAGGAAAATAATATCAAAAGTTGGACATATAGCTGTTTGAAAATATTTACAGCCTGGGTAAGAGAAAAAGAATCTGAAAATCCTCTGAAGCAGCCTTTATTGTGGAGACAACACCTGAAATGTTTGAATGCAAGAAGTGTTCTTGATTCACTTAAAATAACATTTAGCTATGTTTGAATTCTTTATATTTTGAACACAAACCACCATCATCATCATCCTCTTCCTTATGTGGCAGATCCTTTACAGAGCATCACTCGCATCACAGCCCGCCTAAAAGAAAATTTCCCATGCCAATTCTCATGCCTCTTGCATTTTCCTGCCCAAGTGGGGTATGTTCTAGGACACCTTCATGCTGGTTAGTCCCTAGTCCTATTACACAGTACCAGGCTCTCCATTAGTGATCTTTCCAAACATTTGATACAGCCAAAGTATTTTAGTTTTCAAGACAAGATGCTGTTTATGAGCCAGTTTTCCTCAATATTCAGACCTCTTCAAAATATCAGTATTTGTTTTTCTTGGTCTATGCTATTCTAAGAATTTTCTGTAGCATTTTAGATAGTATTGTAGTAGGTTATACTTGCTTCGAACAAACATTTGATGTATTTAAGCATTTATCAGCATAATACAATCTTTTCCTTCAGGTGAACTCTTTCAAGACGCTTGAAGACGTCAAACAAGACATCGTTGAAAACTCATGCTCAGCAAGAGAATGAAGCATCTGAGTCATCGACTTCACATCTTGCAGGAGATATCTTCTTCAGCTACTGTAAAAATCTGTGCTCAGACTTTGGTGGGAGATCTATAATTGTGTGAAAGATGAAGTAAATGCTGAAGTTGTTTTAAAGCTACTCATAATCACTTGTTTAATGTTTTGTTATATGATTTTGTCAAGTAACTTGTTTCTGCATTATCTAAAACTGCAGCCATTTCTAATTTCTTCTTCATGCCTTCTCCCATTTGTATAACCATAGCAGCTAATTGTGTTGGCATGTTTGTGAAACATATTTTATGCAGGCATACATTTGAATTCTGCAGAATTCTGACAGATGAAACCAGCAAAAGAACTCTGTCTGAACATAGATATGAACCATGCCTCCAACTGTCCAAGCTTTGAATACCTCACTGCTGGTAAATTAGTACAACATCCAACAAAATATTGCACAGTTGATTAATTGACAACTGATTAAAAAAAAAAGATACAAAATACATAAAAAGATAGCAGATTTGATTTAAAAAACAGAAGAAAGAATGCTTACTAAGTAGAAAATTGTCACTTGACAAGCTTGTTGACAACTGTTTGTATACTGTCTTTCTGTTATTTTTTTTTTTTTTAATTGCTTGATTTGTAGATCTGATACTTTGTACATAAACTCGTTGTTGACTCCAGCTGCAATATTGCTGTGGTTTACAGGTTGCTCTCACATCTAGTGTATCTTTTTTTTTATCTGCTCAACTTCTACTATTGGTTGTTAAGGTAAGCAGTGTGTATTCAGTTTGCAGTAGAAGAAAAAAAGAACATTCAATACTGCATTTAGTAAACACAGCTAG